CATTTCTGAAGAAGGGTCTAGGCCCGAAACGTCAGCTTTCCTGCTCCTCTGATGCTGCTTGGCCTGCTGTGTTCATCCAGCTCTACACCTTGTTATCTCAGATTCTCCAGCATCTGCAGTTCCTACTATCTCCACTAAAAATACTTTGCCTTTTTCTTTGTCTCTTCTCTAACCACCTCAAAAAATGGATAGGTAAATATTTATCATAAAAATTTGATCAAAAGTCAGTTGTGGGATTAAATCGGGGCTCAAAATGCTTGTTATTTGTCAAAAGGTTATGCAGAGTTTGAGTGCACATAGGGTATGTAAATTCTTGAAGGGAAGGGAAGAAACTTATTTTCAAGTCTAATTTTGAATCATGAGGGCAGTTTTTGCAAATACAGTATTTGATTTGTTTACAGAATTTTTGTTTTAAAGCAACCTTTGGACAACATAGGAATGCGGCCACAAATGAACAATGATTTATTTTTATTTTAAAGTAAATAAACATAATTTTTTATCAAAACAATAAATATAGATGCAGTGTACACTTTCCTACAATGTGCCTCAAAGAATTCCCTAACACGTCTCTTAAACCAGTATGGGTTTTTTTTTCCTCAGTTCCTAAACTAGCTGCTTTATGACCATTTTAAGCAGCTTTTCTGCAGTGATTGTACACCTACCAGGAAACTGGCTTGAGACTACATAAATTGATTTCATGTGGGACCCTCCTGGTTCAGTGGCAGCTAGATTCAGTCTGTCTGGTGCTTTGTTCCAACATGCTGATTTTTCTCCCCCGTGCAGGTGTAGTTATTGGTCTGTTAAAAGCAGACTTTAACAGTACTTTACCTAAATTACTGTTCTTACGAGCTGCCCTGAAGTTTCTCAACCTGAATTGTATCGCAGGCCAGACTTGGCTGATCTTGACATCCACATTTTCCGTGGAGTCACAAGATAGGATCAGGAATAGAAACATCTCTTACTCATACTGAGCTTGGGACTGAGACCAATTATAGCAGCTCAGGCTTAGGACTGCATAAGTGCCTTTAACCACTAAGCAAGCAAGCCAGCTGAATATAGAAATTAGGCGTAACTGTCGCAAAATCGGTCATGTTAGCAGCACAAGGACCAACATTTTCTTCTGCATTGCCTTAGTGTGCGTAGTTGGCATAAATTCAATTGTGGCTCTCAAATGCATTTGGAAAGCAGCTGGAGAGAAAAATGTGGAGCTCTGGAGAAAGGTTTGGGTGCAGTGGGACTTGCACAATTGTTCTTTACTAGCACAGGTGTAATGGACTGAATAACTTCCACATCCTGAAACTATTCAATGCTTTTGAAATCTCAAATCACCCTATTCACTATAGGTGCCAAAGTATGCAAATTTAACCCTTTGAGGACAGCTGCTAGCTTCTCTTGGTTGTTTGATGTCATACGGGGTGAGGAAGGAGTTTGTTGGGCCTTTGATGTTATGAGTTAAAACGTTTCAATCTGTCACTCAAACTGAGAAATGAGAGTTTTTTCTGAAGCCTTTTAGCTTTGGACTTTAGTATTGATTTTACAGTATCATTTGCAGTAAAACTTCTGCTATGTAAGTAGTATTACTGCAATAGGGGATTTCTCAGGGTTACTGTGAATTCATTCTTTTTAAGCCACCAAGAACCACAGGATTCTCTGCAGCTGTGGGTAGTCTGAGGCTTAGTGTAATTTTTACAAAAAGAAATGATGTAGAATTTGATTCTGTCTCCTCTGATAAACAAATCATGAGTAGGTTAGAGCAGAACCAACGCAACAGCATGAGCATCTTGTTGAGCTCTTAAAAAGGCCCACTTCAACATGACAAATACCAGTCATTGCTTGATGAGCAGTATTGTTTTGGAAATAAGTTATGCTCCAAACTGCACACTATCTTTTAGGCTCTGGATCATTGTCCTGAAGTTTCCAATCCAATACTACTGTGGGCACACTCTTACCACAATGACTACACTGCTTCAAGAAAGCCCATCACCACCACAGCTTGGGCAACTAGGGTGGGGTAATAAATATGCCCTTGTCACTTACCCATATCCTAAGAATAGATTGTTAGAAGCTTTCCATTCTGAGCATTAAAATTTAGAGGCAGATGACCAGTCAATTTTAAAAAAGTCTCAATGAAATGTACCATAATTTTTTGGGGTTAGGTATTTTTGGAGAAAGAGGAATTTAATAACTACTCAATTTAAGTTTAAGAATGGATGGGAACTGAGTAAACTGAATCAAGTACATGGCAGGACACACACTTTAAAATTAGGAAGTTGGGAGGTTTTTTTTTTTAAAAATTTACATATATTTAACTTTGAATTAAAGACCATTAGAGACTATAAATGGGATCATGAGATTTCTGGAGAACAGATTGAGAGTTAGTGAAATCAGATGAATGGTACTTTGTGTAGATTAACAGTCAGCTTGTTTGGTCCTGATGACCTTTTCAGTAACTTCCTACAATTCAAGCTCATGAGCATAGTCACATGAATGTTCCTGTGACATCCTCCAAAAATGATTCCTCCTCTTACCCTTTTCTAATATGCAACAAATTATTCCATTGTTTCAAAATCTTCATTTTCACCAAATATTTTTGCTTTCATTTATTCAATTTTGCCACAAACTTGAAAAGAGCTGAACAGCAGTCTTATTTCTTGTACTGGTTGCTTATAGACCACATACCTCATAAGAAACAATCCTTTTTTCTTAATAGCTATAATTTAAAAACAAAAATCAGAACTTCCATAACAAACAAAAACAGAGGATGAATCTGGTACCACTAGGTTATCTACTGAAATAGTCAAAAATTATCAGCAAATTAAGATTAAACATCAGTCCTACAAAATAAGAATTGTGTCTTATCACCCCGAATCCAAATATTCTTGTCTTCAGTGGTATTTTATCCTAAGTATAATTTAAAATAAAGAGCAGTCAGTTGAAACATTGTAAACTAATAGCTTGTTTGTTGCCACACAGGTTTGCTAATCTTTGATAGCTGTTTTACTCCTCCTGAAAAATGGTGTTGCAGTTCTTTATTTTGCAGTCAGGAACACCAGCAAAATAAATGAGCATTCCATCATTGGCATGAACAGGGGTAAATAATTTTACACCACTATACACGGAAATAATAAATTTTATTTTGTATCAAACAACATTACAAAGTTGAATCCTCAGCATCCAGTTTCTGGACAGTGAAAGGGGAGGTGGTGGGGTAGGGAATCATTTTAATTTTTGATGTAGCTTGTAACTCTTAATGTCACTATGTTTCACATTTTCTACAGTGGAGGATGTTTCCTAGAATTTTAAATTCAAGAAAGACCTAGATTAATACAGGTGTGGTATACAAGTTTTAGTGTTTAACATTCTTTAAATAAACTTGCCAAAGTAGGTGAAACCTACAGAAATTTGTCATGATTTTTAATAAATGTTCTGTGCATGTATAAATGGCTGTAATGGTGAAAATGAAACTACAAAAATTTGTTTTACTTGTTCCCCATTTGCAAAAAAAGAACAGCACTAGGAAACGAATTTGATACTGTGTTATACAGATTTCACTTTTAGCTTGATTAAAGCCAGGTTAGGCAAAAAAAAACTATTTCGATCATTTTAAAATCTGTGCTTAAGAGTTTCTTCACGTGTAACCCGTCATTATGGTTGTTACTTTTCACAGGTGTGGCCAATTTCCTGTACACTTGGAGCAACACTTGGATTCACTATCAGTCTTGTCATCGCGCCATTATGGATATACTGGCACAAGAAACACCTCACGTACAAATGCAGATGATTTCAGCAGCTGTTGAGAAGGCTAATACATTTGGTTAAACCAACTCCATTTCGAACTACGCAGAACCACGTGTGGGTAATTGGCATCTCTCCAAGGCTACATTTTGTAGAATAAAACTGTTTACTTTTCTTGAACACCAATGTTCCAGAACAGAATGAGTTTTTCTGTGGCATGCCTCAGATGATTTGCTTCCTAACTTGGGGGTGGGGTGGGGAAGCGAGATTGTAGCTTTTGCAAATGAAACAACCCCTGAGAATCTTTAACATTGTACTTTCCAAGGAAGTAAATTCCTCCATATGACATCAATTTGCTATTATTTTCCAGACAGTACAAAACTTGTGCGGTTGACGATGAATCTAGATTACTTTCATCTTTAGCTGCAATGCACACTCATTATATGTAATACAAGCACTATTTTATAGTTGCTGGAGGGTTCTTCACAGTGGGCTGGATCAGCTATTTTTCCTGTATCCTCACTCATGTGATCATACAGCAGTTTATACATCTTGATCCAAGTCTTTTTTTCAAAACATTTTTCTTTGGAGTTAGAATGGCTATTATGGCTTCATCAAAGACAGTCTTCAGTCCTTTCTGTGTTAATGCTGAACACTCCACGTAGCAATATGCTCCAATCTGTCAAATGGAGCATAAGAATGGAGTTACATTTTACAAAATTTTGTTGCAATGGCAACACAAAATTGGACAAAAAATGATCTGGAGATATTCATTTGTAAAATTTTAATTGAAGAAAACAACCTGAATGTAAAATCCAGCTCCTCATAATTTAACCAAAACCACCACAGCATCCCAATTATTTAGATTTACTTCACTGCTTATCTTAAAAAGGTAGTGACTTATTCTGCAGTGACTTTTCCAAACGGCTACACTCTTTGAACATAGAGCAGTAATTTTCAAACTGTGGGATGTAAGGTTTGGCCAGATGGGGCACAGTCAGCAGCCAAAAACTGCCTTGAAACTAGTAAAGAACATGCAAGCTCGTTCTTTTGCTTTTGAGGGCAAACCTGATCCTGGCTATAATCCCATTCTTTTTTGGCAAATCTCATCAGGTGATGAGATATCAGCGAAAGAGGAACACGACTGTGCTCAAGCCCAGCTGAGTCAGTGGCAAATAAAACCCAGGAGGATAGATAGCAAACTGAGCCAAGGGAAATGGGAGAGGATGAGAAAAAACAAACATGCTAACAGTTCCCCAGTTAAAGCTAATTGCTCACAGCCATGGAGTTGAACAAACGCAGAATTAGAAGTAATATCTGATTCTTGCATCGTTCTGTATCTAAGGCCAAACCTTGACTCAGCCTAGAAACTTAGTACATTTTGTTCTGCTGCAATTTGATTTACTCCTTCAATTCTGCAGACATCTACTGTTAAGTAGCCTGCAGTCTGATCGCTGATTTCATTTAATCGTTTATATTAACAATCACTACTTTTAGGTTCATGGTGTAGACTTGGTTGTATAAATAGCCACAACGATTAACCGAGAATCGAGAGCTCTTTTCTCAGCCCACAAACCCTCTATTAATAAAGCTTTGAACCTTCGTGTGGTTTTGATGGAAATAGGAGGCTAAAAAAAAAATCAAATTCAAATGCTTTAACACTCCTTTGAAGTATTGTGGAAAAGGCTCATCTAACATTTCAGAGAAATAAAGCTGCTCTAGGCAAAGGGAAAAGACAGAGCTGTAGATCCTGGTCCGCTTTTAAACAAAAAAAAAAATGAATATTTTACAAGTTTTGATATACTTCAATCATTAGCATTTCCAGTTCAGAAACTAACACTCAGTTTAACACCAAAATCTGATCTCAAGTGAAACACTGTACCCCCTTTGCCAACTTCTCCCCTTGCTCTGTAGTCACAGGCTTTTCCTTCAAGGTATTTAGTCTAGTTAAAGTTCTTGGGTCATCACGAAGATCAATCTGAAAAACAATCCATACAGAATATGAATTTGACAAATTCAGAAGTTTGTTTTGCACATTGTCCAAATATTTCAAACAACTGAGCTTTGGTTGAAAAACAATGTTCTGAAACTTTCTTTCAAATGGGTCCTAATGCTATCCTTCATTTGTGGCACTTAGGTGTGGATCTGACACTGGTCGAATTGCATTTTTTTTGAGTAACCAGGACTTAGAAATAACATCGCACCAGTTAGCACTGGTTTTTGGTTCAGAAATGTAAATTTCTACAGCTTAGAGTATCCATCTTCCTGAATCCTTCCCTTATCCCCAACCTACTATTGCGACAAGGAGTTTAAAAAAGAAAATAACAATTTTCAGTTTGCAATATTGCAAATCATAGATATGCCATACAATGGAAGTTATTTTATTTGGTAAAAGCAAAGTATTCAGTTGCTAAGCAAAACGTATTACCCTTAGGGAATTATGAAACCGATGGAATAAGGGACTGTTTTAGTTCAAATCTAGGATTTTAACATTCCAAATTGCTCTGCTTATTAGCATATTCAGACATGTTTGGAATTTTTGGATGGTTCGAGCACTGGGAGGAAACCTTTCAGCCCATTATGTCTGAACGAGCAATTCACCTAATACCACTCCCATGCCTTTTCCCCTCACCGCCCTGCAAGTTTTCCTTTTCAGATGGGAAAGCTTCAAATGATCTTGTTTCCACTACATGTAGGCAATGTATTCTAGATCTTAATGACTCATTGCATGAAGATGTTTTTCCTCCATTGGTTCCTTTGCCAATTATCCAAATCTGTGCCTTTTGGTTCTCAATCCTTCCACCAATAGCAGCGGTCTTTTGCTTCATGGTTTTGAATAGTCCTTATCAAATCTTCCCTTGACCATCTTTTCTCCAAGTCTTAACTCCTCTCATTTTCTACACAATTTATGTTCCTCATTAATTCTCAGGAATAATTTCTGCACCATTCCTAAAGTGATACCCAGAAATGTTCACAATACTCCAGGTGAGACCAGACAAGTATTTTAAATGTTATTTGAACTGTTCAGACATGTTATGACACCCCTCATGGAAGATGGGTCTTGAACCCAGACTTTCTGGCTCAGAGAGAGGGACAATACCATCATGCCACAACAGCCCTAAAAACCTTGTACTTTGTCCCCTTGTGCCCCTGTTGATAAAGCTAAATGCTTTATTGTCTGTTCTCTCAAACTTTCCTACCATGACTTCTGCACATATAAACCCTGGTGCCCGTACTCCTGCACCCCCTTACACAATTGCACCCTTGTCTCTTATTCTTTCTAACTAAACTGAATCACTTCACACCTTTCTACATTAAATTTCTTATGTCACTTATCCCTCAATTCTACCAATCTGTTGAAGTCTTCCCAGACGTTCTACAATATTCTCAATCTACACTCTCCTCCACACAATTCATAATATTTCCAAGTTTTATATCATTGGAACATTGAAATATTGCCATTACCCAAAGGTCCAGATCATTAATAAATATACATCAACAAAAGCAAGGATCCTAACACCGACCCCTGGGAGCTCCACAAGAAAGCTTTCTGCAGCACAAAAATGAAATGTATACCAAAAAGTGTTTCCTGTTACTTGAACAACATGAACATGTATTGACAATGTCCTTTTTGTCCCATGAGATCTAAATTTGCTCAATATTTTGTGGCATTTTATCAAATTACCTTTTAAGTCTTGTACACAACAACAACATTCTCATCAGCAATATGTCACCTCAAAAACTCAAATAAGTTAGCCGAACTTAATTTGCCACTCACAAATTAATGTTGGCTTTCCTAATTAACCATTTGTCCAAGTGATTATTAATTTTGTCCCAAAATATCATTTCTTAAATCTTCCCACCGTGTGAAATGAATGGCCTGTTAGAGTTACGATGCAGGCGGCCATTTGGCCCATCATGTCTGCACCAGCTCTGAGCATTTTGACTTGCTGCCAGATTCCTGCCTTTCAATAAAATGGATGATTATTTAAATAGAAACAATGGCCTCTTAAATGCCTCAATTGAACGTACCCCAGAGTGAAAATGATTTTTCTCACCTTGCATTTATTTATTTTGCAAAACACTTCAAATCCGTGCTCTTGGATTCTCAATACTTTTACGACCAGAAACAATTTCTTCCAATCTATTGTCCAGACCTCTCATGATTTTAAACTTTCTATGAAGTCTCCTGTTATCCCCCTCCAAGAGAAACAGTCAATCTTCGTAACAGAAGTTTCTCATCACCAGAGCATTCTCCTAAACCTCTTCTGCACTCTTTCCAATGCTTTCACATCCTGCCTAAAGTGTGCTGCCCAGAACTATGTACAATACTCTAGCTGAGCATGAACCAGTGTCTCATGTATGTTCAGCTTAACCTCCTTGCTGTTACACTTAGCTCCTATTTATGAAGAATACTGTAATCTTTGTCATGAGCTCTCTACTTGGGCATCTTTACTCCTACTTGGTGGGTGACATGGTGGCTTGGTGGTTTGATCCCACCTTCGGACGACTGCGAACTCCACACAATCTCCCCGTGTCTGCGTGGATTTCCTCCAGGTGCTCCGGTTTCCTCCCACAGTTCAAAGATGTGCAGATTATGGGCAATTTAGCATGACCAACCTTCCTAGTGTCCAGGAGTGTGCAGTCTAAATGGATTAGCCATTGAGAAATGCAGGATTATAGGGTTTGAGGAGTAGTGGGTCTGGTAGTTTGGACAGTTTGTATAGACTCAAGGGCCAAATGCTGTAGGGGATTCCATAATTCTATAGGTTACACCAAGCAATGTAATTACGTTATTCTTATTCCTTGGTTCTAGCCAAATTGATTCTGTCCTTGAAGCTTCCAAAACATTCTTTCTCTAGTACTGCAAAGCTTTCCTTAACCAAAAGGTGCCTTGTTTAAATTTTCCCGTTGTTTCTAAGTCATGGAATTTTACATTTCATGTGGGTACTGGCTCCTGAAAGAGCTACCCAGCTAGTCCCATTCTCCAGCCCTATCTCCATGATCCTGCAATTACTTACCCAGTTCTCTTCTGAAATCTCGTATAGAATCCGCCTCACTACCCTCCCAGTTATAGGTCCCAAAGACACTTTGACAGCGAGTGAAATGTGTGTACTGTATGAGGGGGTAGGGCGACAGGAAAGTGAGTACTTCAGGTAGGTTACAAGGTATACCTTGTA